AATGATGGAGGTCGAATCACAAGTGATAACTAAGTGCAAAACTGCCCAGAAATCGTTTCCATCAAAAGTAAATAGGAAAACCCAAAAATATTAATAAGAATAAAAAACCCGATAGACGGACTAAAAATATACTAGGTTAGTTATTAGACTATAAGAAACCGCAATCAAGCGCTAAAATCAACCCAGCTGAAAGTCTAAATAAAACCCTAAAAGGTGAGACAGAGCGCACGAAGGATTCGCGTTATAAGTTTAAGAAATACAGCGTATGAAGTAAGCGATTGAATTAAGAATGGCATGTTTGTTTTTTGTTTTGTTTGTTTCATCGCAGGTGATTCTATGTTTTGCGTTTTTGTTTTCTTATTGAAGTTTATTTCGATTAATGTTATCTAATTTATCATCCCTAATGCGTTTCCCAAAAATAATGTTACTTTAAGTTAAGTAAATACCAAACATAACATCCTCGTTTGTGCCTACCGAAAGTTACTGTATTATGATCTAATAATTGAGAAACAGGAACACTCTTGTTAAATAAAGCCTATCACGAGAAAATAAGATTTGGAACTCTTGCGACACCGACCGTATAGCGTAGCGACGGGATTCGTGCGAGCGCCCGCGGTGGGGCAACGACGCGCGGATTGGCGAACGGACTCGGAGAGGGGCGAAACTGCGCCAGGACACTATAAAAGAGGTGCCGAAAGAGGTTTCGAGGTTCGAGTGCCGCGAGACGTCAAAGCGTAAGGACGGAAGCTACCCGTATAGTCTAACGCCGCGATCCGGTAGAGTTTGCGTATAACTAAGAATAGTAGTGTACTATTCTACGCGCTATCTTCCTTAAGGGGATGCTGCTTTGGTCTGTTTGACCGACCGAACGATTATTTTTTTTAGACAAGGTATTCTTTTTATTGATTGAATATAACATAAAATGCTTTTCCACGATTAAAGTACACGTAAAAACAAAATTCGTCCTGCCCGATTTGATGTCAAAAAACAAAAAAATTTAGGAAATTACAGATTTTTTATCGGCTTCTGGCGTCAGCTCGTAACATTACTTACTTAATATACAAATTTGGCAGTTTGTATATGCAAAATTATACCAGGGCGAATTTGGCATTGGACAAAGGAATATAAATGAATGTTTAGATATCAATTTGGAAGCCTAATAAAAAAGAATAGCTTGTCTAACATTTTCGTGCATATGTGTGTGTGCGAAATCGAGCTTTATGAATAAAGTAGAGCAATATATTAGTCGTGTGATGTCGTGATAGATGGAGCTGCAATCTGTTGAGCTGACAAGGACTGACATAATCGTACTATCTTTGTCTCTCATGCGTGTGCGAGTAATGTACAGTATGTACACACTATATTGTAGTCTGTCATATTATCTCTCTCTCGTCTCTCTCTCTCTCTCTCTCTCTCTCTCTCTCTCCCCCCTGCTTGATTGTTCTATTTTCTTTCATTCCTATTTGTTAGTCATATTCCTTCTTTTCTCTCTACATGAAGATAAATTATAATATTTCTGACAATTGATCGCAATTTACAACTATTTATGAATAAAATTAGAAATCGAAAAAAAGTTCGATAATTATATTATAATACATATATACTTTATCAATTTGTATATATATTAAATAAATATTATGTTATATATATTTAAAATTTGTTTGTATTTTTTTATTTGCAGTAATAATAATCTTTCTGACAATAGCTATATATAAATCAATAAAAAGATTCATTACATTTCAATATACTTTTTATTATTACATCATATGTAATTCGAAATAATTCGTATAAGTAATGATTTTACTAGCATGCATATTTGATTTTACTGAATTTTATTCTTAGTTCGTAAAGAGCAATAAATTGATCAATTGTTATAAAGATTATTCTTACTATAAATGTAAAAAATACATACCAATTATATATATATATATATATATATATATATAATAATAATAAAAAGTATATTGAAATGTAATGAATCTTTTTATTGATATAGATGTAATAATAAAAAGTATATTGAAATGTAATGAATCTTTTTATTGATTTATATATAGCTATTGTCAGAAAGATTATTATTACTGCAAATAAAAAAATACAAACAAATTTTAAATATATATAACATAATATTTATTTAATATATATACAAATTGATAAAGTATATATGTATTATAATATAATTATCGAACTTTTTTTCGATTTCTAATTTTATTCATAAATAGTTGTAAATTGCGATCAATTGTCAGAAATATTATAATTTATCTTCATGTAGAGAGAAAAGAAGGAATATGACTAACAAATAGGAATGAAAGAAAATAGAACAATCAAGCAGGGGGAGAGAGAGAGAGAGATATATATATATATATATATATATATAGAGGTGCATTTAAAATAAAACCTAAGAAAAGAGAGAGAGAGAGAGAGAGAGAGAGAGAGAATGTTATATTTTTATTATAAAATACAGATGTATATATGTAAAAAACTTATTTATTTTCATATAGAGAAAGGACAAGAAAAGTGACAGTGACATAATTGCAAATAAAAAAATATAATAACGAGCAAAACAGAAAGAGAAAGAAGAGAGGATATATAAATAAATAAATATAAGAATACAATAAAACTTTTACTTTATTTAGAAATATATATATCTATATATATATTTATATATATAAAATATATATATATGTTTGTGTTTGTATACATTTCTTTTATATTTTTATAAATTAATATTATATATAAATATCATACATAATATTATATATCAAACTTAAAGTTATATATTTTATCAAATAATTATAAATTAATATTAAATCAAAATCAAAGTAAAAAATCAAAATCGAGAGTGTAGGAGAGAGCCACACCAGAATTATAGCAAATTTATTTGATTTTCTGTGTAGTCACATTCTATTGTCACATCGAATTATATGTGATAAACGTTTCGATGTTTAGATCATCTTCAATATTGGTAAGAAATCAAGTGATAACTTTGAAATTTTGACAGATGTGTGATTTGAAAACTTATCGCATGGTTGGCTAAATACTGTATTCAATCATACAATAAGTTTTCAAATCGCACATCCGTCACAATTTCAAAGTTATTACTTGACTTTTTACCAATACTGAAGATGATCTAAACATCGAAACGTTTATCACGTATAATTCGATGTGACAATAGAAATTCATTAATGTGACTACACAGAAAATCAAATAAATTTTCTTGCATGGTTCCTAATCCCCTACACTCTTTTTATTATATATTATTATATGTATCCTGGCGCGGGCGCATATCCGGGTGGTGCCGGCCCGTATCTAACTTGTGTAGGTGGTGCAGGCGGTCCTGATGGTGCGGGCATATATCCATATGATACCAACCCGTATCCTAATTGTCCTGATGGGGCGGACGATGCAGGTGGTGTGGATGATGCGGGCACATATCCATACAGTGCCGGCCCGTATCCTAATTGTACTGATGGTGCAGGCGGTGCGGGTGGTGCGGGCACATATCTATACGGTGCCGGCTCGTATCCAACTTGTGTAGGTAGTACGGGCGGTGCGGATGGTGCGGGCACATATCCATATGGTGCCGGCCCGTATCCTAATTGTGTTGATGGGGCGAGCGGTGCGGATGGTGCGGGTATATATACCGATGCTGGCGATGCGGCCATATACAGAGACGGTGCGGGCGATGTGTGCACATATTGTGTTGGCACATATACGGATGATGCAGGCCTGTATCTTGCCTGTATCTTTCGTCGTCTCTCGCGGTTCACCGCCTGTTTTACCGCTGCATTTATACGCTGAAAAAGATAGTTTATGTTAGTTTTTTTACAATTATATATAGTTAGTATGTTAACATTCATATTCCAATTAGACTTTTGTTGCTCGTTTGCATATGTTACATACATGTATGTATATGTGTATGAAAAAACGGGTTACAATGCGGTTTTCGTAGAAATATTCTTTCTTTTATTCCAGTTTTTTATTTAAAACTAGATTTATGAAATAGTAACTGATGTGTGATTCAATATATTATATTATTTGTAAATCACACATAAATATATGCATTGCAGAGAATAATAATATAATAAACTAGGTGTTAGTGTGCGTGCGTGCGTGCGCGCGCGCGCACACACATATATACACATACTGACGCCTAATTCATATTATTATTTGCAATACATATATTTATATGTGCGATTTACAAATGATATAATATATTATATTAACCAAGCATCAGTTACTATTTTATAAATCTAGTTTTAGATAAAATTGGAATAAAAGAAATTATATTTCTACGAAAATCGCATTGTAACACGTTTTTTATACATATATATACCTATGTAACCATGTATGTAAACAAGTAAATTTATTTATTTTTATATATTGATAAAAAAAGTATACAACATTATGGTCGGATTTTATTGACATTATCAGCGTCGCATGAAATATATTCGTATTTTTACTGGATGTTCCAGACTTACCATATCACCTGTATGGGGGATTTCTGAGATTATTTGAAGACGATTTTCCCTCAGCAAAAATGTCGAGGCACTAATAATTTTCGAGTAATAAATGATTGAAAATAATGGCTTTTTTGCAAACTAAGTCTTCTGTGGAAATAAAATAAACAAAACTACATTCTTCAGCTGAAATTATTTTAATAGAATTTCTTAGTTACTAAGTACATGATGACAAAAATTGGGAATAATGACCTCGACATTTTTGCCAAGTAAAAATCATCTCCAAATAATCTCAGGAATCTCCCATAACAGGTGATATGGTAAAAGTCTGGGACACCCTGAATATTTGATCCGCACCAATGTTATGTTGTATACATCTTATTTTCTCTTTAATTAAAAATGCAATTTAAAAAATTAAAAACTACTAACCTTTTTTACTTGCCTCGTTGAGGTTGGTCTTGCCGTCGCCGTTACCGCCGTCGCCGTTACCGCCGTCGCCGTTTCCGCTGTCGCCGTTTCCGCTGTCGCCGTATCTTTATCCATCGACGTTGCCGTTGACACTTTGTTGGACGATGCTATCACTAGCGGTGACGTCGCCGTGGACACTCTCCTGGACGACGCCACCGCTAGGGGTAACGACGACGTTATTGATGGTGATGGTGATGTTGATGGCGATGTCGATGTCGATGCCATCGCCGCCCTCGCCCTCCTTACGGTCGTTGTCGTCGCCCTTGTCGCCTTTGTTACTTCAGGCAAATTGCCTTCGCTTCGAGCTGTAAAAAAAGTATATTAGAAAATATACTATATTTCTACATATTCTCAATTTTTTGTCAACAATCTTTTACAAAAAGAATGAGAATGAGAGAGAACAAGAGAGAAGAAAAAGAGATTATACATTTATCAGCTAATACATTTTTATAATTTATGTTGCGTAATATATACGAGTTCCATAAATTTAACGTATTGAAAATGTATAAAGTTAATTTATATATACGTATATATATGTATATATATATTTATATGCATATATATAAGAGAATAAAAGAGATATAAGAGAAAGTACTTACGTCTCGGCATCGTTCAAGTTCAAAATTTTCCGAACACTTCTTTCGCCACACTCCACCGGCACACTCCACAGTCCTACGACAAATGACGATTTTCTTCGACCGATTCCGAGCACGTGCGCTGTTGCCACGTGGTTTACTATCAAAAGCGAGAGCAAGAACGAATGAAGAGGAAGCAAGATGACAAACATCAAAGAGTTCCGAACTCTCTCGCTCGCGAGGGTCTTTATCTATAATCATTCATATCATATATCATGTTACTGTAAAAAATAAAAATTTATGTATTTCGCATTTTATCGATCTAAAAATAATTATAATGGATTAATGAGAATTTTGCGATTAAAATGGCACTAAACACGACATATATCGGATAATTTTTAATTAAATATAGAATTATAATTTGATTCTATATTTAATTAAAAATTATCCAATATATGTCGTGTTTGGTGTCATTTTAATCGCAAAATTCTCATTATAATTATTTTTAGATCGATAAAATGCGAAATACATAAATTTTTATTTTTTACAGTAACATGATATATGATATGAATGATTATAGATAAAGACCCTCGCGAGCGAGAGAATTCGGAACTCTTTGATGTTTGTCATCTTGCTTCCTCTTCTTTCGTTCTCGCTCTTGCTTTCGAAGACATCGGGATGAATCTTTCCTTATTTACAATAATTTATCAATATAAACATATATAATTTAAAAAAATTGAAACTTTTGTTTTATATTGTATGAGTTTTAAAGAAATATAATAAATTAATGAAATTTTTGCAATGACACTAAACATAACATAAATCAGATAATTTACATAATTTCCTTATTAAATTTTTAATGCAGGAGTATCATATAAGTAGCTATATAATCTATATATTGATACAATAAAGCGAAATAATCCCCAGTGGCGTCGTGGAAGTGCAGGTTTCTCATCGAACTTGGGTTGAGCAAAACATACAAACATAATTGCCCGCACTAATATGTCAGGATTTTTTATTTTTGTAATTTTTAAAAAATTTTTGTACTTATAAATGGTAAATGTTAAAACATGTATATACCTCTATCTTTATATGAAGGTCATAACTTTTAACATTCGGAATGTTTAAAATATGCAATGTAAGAATAAAAAAATTTTTCTAAATACTTATATACATAATTGATAATAATAGAGGTAATATTTTATATTGGCATTACTATTGAATTATTCAATCAATTATACATTCTCTCCGAAAAAAAATAAATTTTATATCTAATAATGTACAGAACAAGCTTTCATAATTATAGAGCAAGTACTATGCGTCTCTCTCTCTCTCTCTCTCTCTCTCTCTCTCTCTCATTGGCATTCAAAGATGATATACAAATAAATCTTTTTTAGAGTTTGAAAACATAAATGGATAAAATATATCAGTTTTTTCCATTCATAAATAAACAAATAGCTGTAATCATTTGTCATAAAAATTCTTTTTATAGCTAATTTTTAAATATATGTATATACATTATATTATACTGATGTATTTAGAAAATAGCAAAATAAGAAGAGAATGTAACTCATATGTCATTTTGCATCTATGTTATAAAATAAAAATGTATGAATTTATTTTTGTGTAGATAAACGAGAACAGAACAAAGCATATGAATAAAAGAATATAATTAGTAAATGCCAAGAGAGAGAGAGAGAGAGAGAGAGAGAGAGAGAGAGAGAAAACGTTATTACATATAAAATTAATTTTTTTCGGATAGAGAGAATGTATAATTGATTGAATAATTCAATAGTGCCAATATAAAAAATTACCTCTATTATTATCAATTATGTATAAGTATTACGAACATTTTTTTTAATTCTTACATTCCATATTTTGAATATTCCAAATGTAAAAAAAATTTAAGTTATGAACTTCATCTAAAGATAGAGGTATATACATGTTTCTACATTTACCATTCATAAGTACAAAAATTTTTTAAAATTATAAAAGTCAATGATCCTGTACGTAATTGGTTTTTTATATTTATGCGGTATTTCTTTTTCATCACAGAATAAGCCGCGCGCGCACACATACATGCGCGCATGCGGTGATCCATTGCGCGTATCAATATTCACTTTCGTGCGCGGTTTCGTACGCGTAACAACAGTGACGAAAGCCGTTATAGCGTGTAATAACGTGTGGTAAAGTGAAGCGAAGAATTATTATATTATATATTTTTGTAGTGTGTCCACATAATGGGACGTAATTATAATAAATATTTGCCTCTCAATCGGCCAAGACTTTCCTTGAAGAAAGGCTGGAGGAAAAGGTTTGTGTATTTCCATTTATATATACATTATTATAAAATTATGTATATGCACACATAACATATATATTAAACAGAAACTAGGATAAACAAAGAGAGAGAGAGAAAATATATTAGTGAGCGATCGATTGAACAAGCGAATGGCTGCATAAATGTCGTAAAATGAAATACTATGATTGATAGTATGTATATATAACGTCACAAATATTGGATCTAAAGTATCAATAGAAATAGATACAATCAAATGTATTGCCTTATTTCATATAGATTTTTCGTTACTCATTTATATACTCTCTTCTTATCTTTGCTCATCGTTGTCTGTTTATATATCTGTTTGTTACTGTATGTGTTGTATGTCTATCAAATATTATCTGCATGTGTGTATGTATCTGTATATAGAATTAATTTTTTTATCTTTTCGTTTGAATATTTTTATACTGATATATATACAGATATACACACACATGCAGATTATATATGATAGACATTCAACTTATACAGTAACAAACAGATGTATAAAGAGATAAGAGATGTATAATGAATAAAGATGAAAAGAGAGTATAATTCAGTTACGAAAAATCTATATAAATAAATCAAAGTAATACGTTTGATTGTTCTCGTTGAGTGTCACTAAATGCTGAAAATGAAGAAAAGAAGAAAAAATAGTTGTATCTATTTCTATTGATCTTTATGCTCAGTATTTAGTAATGCTGTATGCATACTATCAATCAATATATCGCTTTATGACAATTATACAGCTATTTGCTTGTTCAATCGCTCATTTACTCATTTATTCTCTCTTTCTATTTCTTTGCTTATCCTAATCTCTCTGTTTATCATGTACCTATGTGCTGTATGTGCATACATAATATGTATATGTCTAATATATATAAAGGGTGTATTATAAAAGTCACGCCCCATCTCTTGAGAATGAAATGACGACGTCAAAATAAGTCAAAACTAAAGAATGACAAAATTATGTTTGAGCCTTTAGAGTTATAATCAAAATAGTGCGTTTCAAATGTCTATCTGAAAATTCTAGTCGCGCGGTCAAGGAGACATTACAGATGCTTCGAAACATTATATTCCTAGCAGGAGGATAAACAAATTCTCAAAAGTCTCAAATGTAATTTTGTAATTTTTTATTTTAGATTTATATTGACTTCATCAATTCATGCTCCAAAGATGGAGCGTGACTTGTGATACACCCTGTATATATACAATACATATATATATATATATATATATATATATATATATATAAGCCTAAAATTAACAAAAATAAAATATGTACATAAAAAATTAATAATTATTGCTATTTAAAATTTATTTATTTTTTATTTATTTATTTTTTGAATTTTTAATTTTATAAAAAAAATTAATAAATACACAAATTAATTATTAAAAAAATAAGAGGGGCGTCAGCTTTAGAAAGTTTAATAACGTGTTTTTTTGAGAATTTTTGTAATAAAAATTGTATCAAATTATTGTAAAACTTTTAGGCATTTATTATTAAACATTTATAAGTATAAAAAATTTTTCAGTTCTAAATATTGACTATAGAGGTAGCCCTAAAAATTTTACAGCCTCGCCGCCGGAGTTGAAAATTAGCAAGCATTCTCGTATCTCCAAATCTCGTCTCAAAATTAAAAAACCAAAAATTTTTTTATTATTTATAAAATTAGATCGTCGATGAATTTCTAATATTTATCAAAAAGTGCAAAGTTGACAAAATTATGAAGTTTAGAAAATAAAGACTTATTTTCTTACTTTTTCATGCAAATATTAAAATTAATTTTTTTTATAAATGTTAGAGATTCATCGACGATCTAATTTCATTATAATAATAAAATTTTTAGTTTTTTAATTATTTTTTAAATTTTAGGTTTTTAATTTAGACGAGATTTGGAAATACGAGAATGTTTACCAATTTCCAACTCCGGCGGTGAGGCTGTAAGAAGATTGGCCACCTCTACAGTAAATATTTTTAACTAAAAAATTTTTTATACTTATAAATGTTCATAAATAATTATTTTAGAATAATCTGTGGTACAATTTTTACAAAAAAATTAACCACGTTATTTTTAGCTTTCTAAAGCAGGCACTCTAATAAAAATATTAATAAAAATAATAAAATATTATCTTTATTGACAAATATATATATATATATATATATATATATATATATG